CTTAGCTTCCACGACTTGTAAACTAGTTTGGTTACCAGCTGCTGAAATATTTTCAAATGGAAGTATCATCCCCAGCTCTTTTTTTCTGCGATAAGCTGCAATTCGCATGGCCTCCAATCCCATTTTTCATGATGAACCAAATATATCAAGATTGATTGTCATTTTATTTGAGACAAAGTTACTGAAGGGTTTATTTAGCTCATGTCTATCCGGTCTCAACATCAGCTTGCCGATACATTCACTAAATCTCTTCCTTCTTCTTCATTGCTTCCTCTCTTATCCAAGACGGCTGTCAAAGATATTTATAGTCCATCTTGAAGAGGAGTATTAGATCATATAATTGATGGTAGTTAATGTTGAGCTGTCATGTAACTAATTCTATACACCAGCCAGTCTATTTATATTGCTTGAATTGTAACACGCGATAAATGATTTCATGAAATGAATTTCTTCTTTACAGTTATTCTCTCCAGATTCTTCTCTTATCTTCAAACCTTGTTATCAGTTCTTCTCTTCCAACTTTTCTCTTCAAACATTAATAGTATAGATGAATTAACTGTTGAATCTACGAATTTGAATTGGTAGAAGTATGAAAATCCAAGTGTTTCTCCTGTTTTTTGCTGCAAGGATATGGTTAAACTATTGGCTTGGAAGTCTCTCATTGAAGGGATACGTTTCGAGAGATTGTAATTCAGTCCCTTGGAATTGGGATACGGAGGATGAGTTGTGGGATTTAGGGAACGCTTAAAGCATTGAATTTTGCTGTAATAACAATAGTTGGGTGAAATTTCATAATCATCACTTATAACATATGGTTTTGCAGATATCGTTGAAGAGTTTTAGAGATGGTGTCATGTGTGATCTTATTATCACCAGCAATACCCAAAGACATGTGGAGCCTTTGGCCATAATAATGGAAGCACTGGCTGAAACAGGCAATTCAGCATTTCCCAAGTATGCCTGTTTACTTCTTGTTTTCAGGAAAAATATTCTGATAGTTGCATTGCTATAACAAGGAAATGAAATTCTAACTTAAGTCAAAATGTAAATTACAATAATTTGTAAATAAAATTGATTGTATTGCGAATATTCTTTTGAGTTTTGCATCACCTAAAATATTCCCCTTGGTTTGCATGGAAGGAGTTTCAGTAACTGTGCTGAAAATTATTTATTGAATCTAATCCACTTTGTACTCTTGAGTTCCATGAGATATATAGCAATCTTGACTCAGGTTGCCCTTGAATTCTAATACTATTAAATAATGAAATTGAATGGATTGGGGAAAAGATGAAAGCAAAGAATTTGACTTATCATTCTTTAAAAAGCATCAATATAATGCTTTCTGCAGTGAAGGTTTTCTAAAACACAATGGTAATATTGCTACCCCTTTGTCACTAGGATTACTGTTAATGTCACCAGTTAATGCGTGTTGTTCATAGAGGCTGATCCAAACATCAAACATAAGCTTTTTGATGAAAACATATGGTTATCATTTCTGCCAATTCCCTTTGCTATTGATCTGCTGCACCGAGCTTCAATCACGAAGCTTCAGCTCACATGTGATGCTTCAATTAAGATATTTTATCACTTCATCATCCTTACCTTATGACTTCAATTCGGTTGGTGAGGACGTGAAGTGTGGGCTTTTTATTTATCTTCTAATTTAATGTCACGTGGGCCTCTTTTGAAGTTTTGTTAGGTGAGGCGTAACAACTTACACTTGATGTTATTTGAAGGTAATGCAATTTTATACGCTTTCAATAGTAATTTAGACCTCTTGAATTTTTTTTATTTTTTATTTTTTACAAAGCCCAATACTCGTACACTAACATGGCTCACATATTCTGTCTATCCTACATTCAAATATACTTGTACAACTTGATTAACTTAATAGCCACCGCCTTTCCCACCTTCAGGGAATGTCACTCGTTTTTTACGATTTGTCCTAATGTGCAGGAACATTATGCGTGGATTCGAGTGGAGCCGAATTTGCTAACCACGTCATCGGTCCAAAATTCAACGTCAACACATACAATTTTTGTTCATTAGTCTTTTTTTTTTTTTTTTTTTTTTTTTTTAATATCTAATGTTCAAATTAGTTGTTGGTTGATCTAGAAATAAACAAAGGCGAATAAGCGATTTTTGGTTTCTTTTTCCCTTTTTTTTTTCCCTATCAAATTTTCCTTTTTCCAGATCA